TCAACATAAGAACTTTTCAACTTGAGAACCACCTTCCAATACGGATTAAGTTCTTAAGTAGAGACCCCACTGTATTCTTTCCTCAGCAGCCAACACACAAGTCCTATATTACTTACATATATTTGACGCCTCCTTTAATGTTTTGTGTTTTCTAACATTTGTGTTGCTGATTTAAATGAAATTGTGGGAAAGGTAGGTGCATGCATTAGCCTTTGCAGTTGACCCTTTGCTTACCAACAGACTGTTATCTAGTACTGAAGACAGATTAACAACTGATCATAAAATGGGTGCCACAGGACATGCTGGGGAATTCAAAGGACAATTTTATCATGCTGCGCTGAAGATCAGGGACTACAGCAGTATTGATTCTTACTTCACACTTTCGGCTTTTTAATTTTTGAACACTCAGGCACACGTCTGGTTTCTCCTGAAGATAAATCGAAATCTGTAACTACATATTTAAGCCGTTCCCGTATTTACTTAAGGCTACAGTAAAGTGATGAGCATGGACACCTATCGGTAAGTTCATCAATCAGGACAGTGCCGCTTATCTGAGGGCTCTTAAAAATAAAAGACACAGAGTCTAGCATATTAAGCACACATATTTACTTGATCTATACAGAACTGAGTAGATAAAACTTCAGATTCACACCAGTGAAAAATTTCTACAAAATGTTCCTGAAAAGCAAAAACAAAACTGCCTATTTATTTAGCATTTTTTTCATGAAAGCAGGCATGACTTTGTAAAAATAAAGCAGAGTGGTTCAGCACAAACTAAATTTCTGCATCACTTTTCACAGTTATTTTCATCTACAGCCTGAAGAGGTAGATTTTCTGCAACACCTGAGAATTGAACTGGAACGTAACTAGGAGTAATAGAGGACAACAGGTCAGGATACAGCCCTAAAATGTGTAGGTCAATATACCTGTGTGGTACAAATGAAAAGGGTGTTGGGGGGGGCTGAGTTCAGTGTGAGATGGGCTTTAAAACTGTAGGGCCTTTGAAGGCCCTGGCTGTGCAATAGGAAAAATAATAGTGCACGCCCTCATACCGAACACATCTGATGCAAATTCAAAAGATAAGATATGAGGAAAGGGAGGGCAGAAGCAACACCTTAATTATTTTAAGTACATGATTACATACTATAAAAGTATCTGCCTGTGGGAAGCATGCGTTGTATAACTGAAGTGCACAGATCAGTTCTGATGCAAATTCATTGCAAAAGATATGAAGAAAGGGAGGGCAGAAGCAACAACCTTAATTATTTTAAGTACTTGATTACATACAATAAAAGTGTCTGCCTGTGGGAAGCATGCGTTGTATAAGTGAAGTGCACTGAACAGATCAGTTGAGGGATGACAGTACAATCTCCTATTTCGTGGCAGATGTGAGGAGTGTGAGGCTTCAACACTAGCACTTCTCACTGGTCAAAAGATGGAATGCCAGGAGGCTTCAGAAAAAAAAAACCTTTGGTCCATTCAAACTCAAAACACAATGTGGGAAGGGTCACCTGCACAACTTTTGTGTCCCCCCCCCCTTCAAATTCCTGTATTTTTCAGGACCAGGCATCCATACGTTTCCAACCCTTGAACTGCAACAGGATCCAAAATCTACTCTTAATTGCAGATAGAGGAGGCACTGTGCCCATTGTCTCCAGAAGAAAAAGGCAACCAAGCTTAAAGGGGGGGGCGGGGGGAGAGACTCCAGAAGCTTTGTAGCTGACATCCCAACTCGCATTCTGGTTCAAGTTCTTTCGGGTTCCTTTTTGTTGGATGTTTCACACTGAACACTTTTTTTTAATGTTTCAAAATACTGGCCGATCTCCCTTAAACTTTCTTACATGTCTAACAAGATCATCCTTTACAATGCCCACTTTATGCACCCTCCTTGCACACCTGCTATGCTTATTTTATGGAACTGGAATGAATATAGAACAGACTGCAAATGCAACAGTGAGGAACAGAACTGGCCAGTTTCCAGATCAGACTACAGGTCTCAATTTGATTTCTCCCAGTGGTATAAGCAGCATTTCAAAGGTTTCCTGCAAGCCTTATTTCCATTCATGACCTCTACTTCACAACATACATAACGGTTAGTAAAGGATAGCATATCAGCGTAGGCTGAATATTCAAGTAATCTGAAACTGAGTTACTTAAGAGAACGGGAGTAAGGAATGAGAAAACCAAGTCATGGGCCCAAGTCAGCAATCACTCAACAAGGACAGTTCACAGCTTCAGCAATGCAACAGAGGTAAGATAGAGCCTTGGCTGTTGTATATGAGCTAACATAAAGACCTACATGCCAAAAAAACCAGGTAACCTATAGATGCCAAAAGGCACTTTTAATTGACATACATGTTTAATAAATAAATCCCTTTATTCAAAATAATTCAAAACTGGAGTGCAGATTAGCATATTCTCCCTCCACCTTTATGTTTGGATTGAGGTAACTTATTATTCATGCTGTTATCTGTGTATTTAACAAGACATTCGTTTTCTTAAAAACCTGTTTGCTGTCAAATATCTGTGTTGAGACAAATGGACCAACACAAGAAGTATTACCATTAGCTGTTTCATTAATAGGGTGCAGCGGTGCCTCGCTGAACGGCAATAATCTGTTCCATGAAAAGTGCCATTAAGCAAAAACATCGTAAAGCGAAAATAAAAAGCCCATTGAAACCGTCCAGCGAAGATCCTCCATACGGCCGCCATTTTCGCTGCCTGTATAGCGAGGAATCCGTCTCTAAATACAGCGGGGAATCATTTTATTTACCCAGCGGCCATTTTGAAACCGCCGATCAGCTGTTGGAAAATTGTCGTTTTGCGAAGAATCGGTTCCCGAAGCAGGGAACTGATCATCGCAAAGCGAAATTCCCCCATCTAGACCATCATTTTGTGATCGCAAAAAGATCGTCGTAATGCGGATTCGTCATAATGCGGGGCAATCGTAAAGCTAGGCACCACTGTATAGTGGTGGGGGGAGGGAACATTAGCATATTCTACCTCCGCCTTTGTGTTTGGATTGTGTTAATTTATAATTTATACTGTTGTCTATGTATTTAGTAAGACTACATGTTTTCTTAAAAACCTGTTTGCTCTCAAATATCTGTGTTGAGACAAATGGACCAAAACAATAAGTGTTACCATTAGTTGTTCCCTTATTCAGTGAGGACTGCATTTGTAAATGCCCATTATTTCCTACCAATGGAGAGAGGCATCAACCCTAGTCACGAAATAATGGCAGACAAAATCAAAATCCACTTTAGTTCAGCAACCAACCAAAACTCCACATTTAGTAGCATAAACTGCAAGTAGTACAAAGGCATTATTAGGCGGTAGGCTTTGTGTTACAGTTCATCTTCTTAAAAGATTTTATTCTCTTGAATAGGCAGCAATGCACTCAACATTAGTGGTTGTCTGGACTAAATGTGAGCAACTGCCTCCACCCACCAATCTTTTATTTTAACAGGCAAGAAAACAATCACTCCAGTTATGAATTGACTGTAGTGGACAATCCTGAGAAATGTGAGTTGTAGACCCTGTATTTCCAGTTGCAAATTCAAGCGGCAATTAAACTGCAGCTACATTAAACCCTGTAAGATTTCCTCTCACCAGCCTGCTTCACACTGGTCATGAGTTATGTTGGTCACCAGATGCCCATTATAGTTTATTCGTTCAATTCAGAATAGCAAGCATTCTGACCCCCCAAAACTTGTGGCAGTTTGGTCACAGGTGTTCCCTTTGTCGTATCAGACCTGCACACGAAATTTAAATGATGTGGCCATGTAAGTGTGTTATAGCATCAGGAAAAAAAAGGAATTTACATGCATCCTTTGATAGTTTCTTGTTTTAAAAAATGAGGCAGATGTGCAACACAATTGTGGAAATTTTATAGATCAGCTATTCAATAGCCACCGAGCAGCTTCCTGTACCAGGCAAATTCTGTTCTGTTCTAAGAAAATACAGATATGGTAGAAAAAGTAAGAAAATTTTCACCACAAAACTAAGAGTTACCACCACCTGTTAAAGCCATACACAAAATATATCTCTCAATACAGTGTTTACACTTTAGTCAACAACATCTGTGGCAGGAATGGAACCGAGGCAGACAGTTTGTTCAGAGCCTTCGTGTGCCACACTCGGTTCCGCATCTGGTTGGATCCCTTCTTCCGCTCCATTGGCAGAAAGGCCCACCTTTCCGTGAGAGTTGAGCGGGCATGGCTGCAGATCCACATGGACTGCTAGATCCACATCTGCTTCTCTTACAGAAACTTGTCCTTTAAGAACTTCGACCTTCTCATTCAGCTCGTTTCTTTCCGTTTGAAGAGCCCTGCACAGCTTTTCCAAGCGCTCCAGTTTTATTTGAAAGCCTTTGTATTCTTTGTCTTTAACTGTTTTCTGTAGTAAACAAAAGATGGTTCGTGACCAGCTGATACTTTTGTGATACGTTCCAATACACCAGAATGGTAAAGCAGATGCCTGCATCCACAACTTCCTATGGTCTCGGTCTTATAACCCTACGTAGAGCGCCTTGATTAGCCTAAAAACAAGTTGACCAAAATCCCCCATTGGACTAGAGTGAAAGAAAACAAATTTTACTTTAATCTGTCAAATTTTGAAAGTGTACAATCACCTTTTCCCAATGTGTATCAGGTTCAGTGACAAAATATTCAAACTTTTGCACTGTGCAATATATTTAACAAGAACAGTAATTTACACACATCTGCACAGAAGGACATCTCAGTTAAGCCCAATGGGGCTTGCTTTTTATCTCCCCATTGTAAATGAGTATAGTTTCAAAAAAAGTGTAAGTCAAGTACCTTTTCCATTTCTTGTCTGAACGTTGTAAAAAGTTCATTACTCTTTGCCATTGTGGTCTGGAATTCCTCAAATTTATCCATATAAAGAGAAAGCTGAAGAAAACAACAGTTAGGGGTATCTATACGATACAGTAAGCCACAAACTGGAAAATCCACTGTGGTGTAAGGAGTAAAACAGGCAGTTTCAAAACACCAAGCGTTGCTTCCACAAGGACTACTGCAATGGCTTACGTCAACAGGATTTAGATTGTCTTCAAAAGACAAAAACAAAAAACCCAGAAAATGCCATGCAAATTAAACATACGCCACACAAATTAAAACAACCATGTAAAGATCAGAGGTTTTCTGATTTTATTAGAATTTGTACATATGTAGGCTCATTCACTCTAGTTTTTAACTTTATCATCACTGGTGTGCATGCCAGTCCAACTTCTTCCAAACTAAACACTGAATATTTCTGCTTCTATTAAATAGCCAAAGGAGCAAAATATCTGGTTTTTATTCAAGGGATACCAATTTGTTTCCAAACTTGGATCCTTCTAGATATTTTGGGCAACTGTCCCCCACAATTGGTTATTCTTGGTGGGAATGCTGCACAATGTACCAAACCATGTGGATGGCATGAAGCTGAGGAAAATGGTACTGTGCAAAAAAAAAAAAAATGCTTAGGAAGTGGTGGGAGAAAGCACCCATGAAAGGCAGGCACCCTTATGAAGTGCAGGCATAAAGCAGTGATGAAAGGGCTGCAGGATCAAAGGGTTGTGATCCTGCAGCCCTGTCATCGCTGCTTTATCCCTAAGCCCTTTGATCCTGCTTTCACTGGGGTTAGGAAGTAGAGGGGAAAAGCAGTGATTTTTTTATCTGGAGTTGGAAAAGTGGGTGTCGTCTTGTACATTGGGTTATCTTATACAGTACATGGAAAAATACAGTAATTCTCACTGCAAAATAAGCTGTCCAACAGAAGACAACAAGCCTATGTGTATGGAAACTTGTGTTTTAATACTGTACATCATTCCCAATCTACAAGACTGTTACCAGCAATTATGGAGCTTGCCTTTGTCAAAGAAAGACTCATAAACACTTCTTGCCTGGTCCATCTGACAAGAGGAGATGTTGGCTATAACAAAAGAGACCTGGAGCAATCCTGTAACGCGGGGGCTTCTTTAACTGTATCTATCAGCAGATAGTATTTTTTATTTGAGCAGCACCAAAACAATATTGCCCTGGCCTCTTTATTTCTTTCTATTGGTTAGATGACTGGATAGCTTAGTGGTTTAGGTATCTCTGGAGTCAGAGGTTGGCAGTTCCGTTCCCCACTGTGCCTCCTATGAGTAGTACCACCCTGCATGGTCTTGGACAAGCTGAACAGGCCCAGGGCACCCCCAGAAGAAAAGAACGGTAAACCATTTCTAAATACTCTCTACCTGGAAAACTCTGGAATGGGTCAACATAAATCAGAACTGACTTAATGGCACATTATTTGGCATATTGATTGGGTCTGTCTTTAGTCTGGCCCCACAAGCACAACACCCCCCCCACAAGTGCATGGCATGCCTCCCCCGTACTTGGAGTTCGCTCCCTCCAGCTGGTCCGTGGCCCCAAAAAGGTTGGGGACTGTTGGCTTAAGGAACTAAGAGATAAGTAGACTTTGTCTAGAGGGGTGGGGTATAAGTTTAAATAAAGTAAATAAAGTAAAGTAAATAAATTTCCACTTTATTCCCACTCCAAACTGGTTATGGAGAGCTGGGAAACCACTTTTTACATACTGTGAAAGTCTGGACGGGGAGGAGATGAAAGCTCCTTCACCACTGTGTTGAATTCACCCGCATACAAACAATTTTCATATTAGACATTTACTCTTATGACTGAGATCACTACATGGGAAGTAAGTCTGATTTTGGAGACTTGTACAACATGACATAAGAATGGTGAACCAGGAGAACATCCATTCTCAATTTCATAAGCCTAAGTGCTATGGCCTAAAGCAGCCGTCCCCAACCTTTTTAGCCCAGCGGACTGGCTGGGAAAGGCCACTTGTGTGAGCATGCACACGCAAATGCAAACGGGCTGTGTGTGGGGGAGTGTGTGCAGGGGTGGAGGTCTGTCCTAAAGAATCACTTTGCAGAAAAAGCACTCTGCAAAGCTTCCTGAGGCACACCAAAGTGTAGCATAATCAAAATATGTTGGAAAAGGACACAGTATATAATTCTCTTGTCGAGGTTTGTACATTAAAAAACAAATTTCTTCCAATACTTAATGGCAAATTTGGTAGCCTTTTGACTATGAGACTGGCAAATGTAAGAGGCCAGTTACACACATGTGGTCTCTGCACACTGTGAAGGACTCTACAGTTATGCAGAAAACTATTTACTCTTAAAATTGGAGAAGACAAAAAGAAAACAGTCAAAACCCTGATGATACCTCAGCATATCCTTTCCACACCAAGAAGCATGGAATACTAAAATTGCTCATAAGAGAAAGCCATAAAAATAAGATCAGAAAAATGGATCTCAAGACATATACCATAAGAAGTCATAAATGAATATGTCTGCTGGCCCTGTATTGTATTCCACAGTTCTGGGGCTGAGCTAATAACTTTTCACTTGCCTCTCCACCACCTTCAGCCTTATAGAGTGACTGCAATATAAAACTAAACTGCTGGAATATAAGAACAGGAAGATTCTCGGCCAGTTCCAGAGCTCAGCAGTTTTGCACTTATTATTATATGCAGACAACAATTCAGTGGTTTAAATCCTCTTCCTCAGAGAATCCTTGCAGACCACCAAACTAGTTTCAATAATATGGAGCTCCAAAAACATTCTCAAATTTGCAAAGTTTTGTATCCAACCAATTCAAAACCTCAGTTATTAAAACTCTTAACATAGTAAACATTAAAATAGGGTTACCTGTTGTTTTAATTGAGCCTCTTGTTGTTTCATTTGTTCACATTTGTGTCTGGACTCAGTAGCCTCTTTTAGCAGCTGAAAAGGAATTATTATTATTATTATTATTATTATTATTATTATTATTATTGATGGTGCCAACAATAAAGGACTGTGGGATTTGTAGTCTAAAACATTTGAGTGCCAAAGGCATGCTACCCCTGGCATATATGTTATAAGGTGCACTTTGTACAGCTGTTAAGCTCAGACAGGCAGCGGCTAAGATGCAAGACGCAAAATTGCAAACATAATTTATACTAAGTATCATATTGTTACAAATGTATTTAACATTGTAGCATTAATGCTACATCCCTGTACAACACCAAAGGATCAAACTATCCCTTCCAAAGAAACTTTTGATGCATAATAATAATTGCTAACAGTAAGACCTGGCAAATACTACAAATGTTATTAAACACTATCCAAAAATATCTAAATAGAATGCTTTAAATAGAATTTGCTTTAAAAGAAAGAAGCTTAACACATTCAATTACACCAATCTACTAACAGAGTGAAACGTATCTATATCCTTTACACTAGATGAGAAACACTTACAAACTCCCTCTCTCTCTGGTGCTTTTCTTCAGCTTCTTTTATAAGCTGCGTTGTTTGCTGAAGCTTCGCATCAACCAATTGCTGTTGCAATTCTTTATGCTTAAAGACTTTGTCCATATGCTAAAAAAAAGAGCATTACTATTAATGCAACAAATATCTAGCATTCACGCTTCTCAAAATAAGCATGTATTTCACAGAGCAATTTTATTCTGGACTGTCCATTACACTATGGTTTCTACTTGGAAAATGCAACACCATTTACAGTATAATAAAGTTTGAAATGAGTTTTCTTGTGAAAAGATTATTTACTGCTAATAAGCCATCAACTGAAGGTGAAACTCCACAAGGAAGTGATGCAGTTCCAATCCACCAAAATACATTTTTAAAACATGGAATAAAAAAGATACATGAGAAAAAGATAGACAGGTTGTACTTAAGCTTTGTATAAAATGGAGGGAACTTGCCCCACCCTACAGCTCTAACTTGTACCCCACAAAACTGTTTCAGTGGGCATGCAACAGGGAGGAGATGTTGCTGCATGAGTGGAGGGGCTTGTCTAGAGAACTGTAGATACTTTTGCACACCAAGCTAAGAAGAATTACATTAAAAGTTTACTTACTTCTTCTCTCAGTGCATATTGTTCTACGAGTTTCTTCAGTTTCTCCCCCAATTCAATGTTTTCCTGACGGAGCTTTGCATTGTGTATGCCGTGCTGTTCCAACTGAGCCTGAATTTCATTTAGTGTGATCTGGAAGTGTGCAGTTGCTTCTTTACGCCTCTCCTCCTCTTCGCGGGCTTGCTGCATGTTCTCTTCCTTTTATCCAAAGAGAGTAATAAATACACTTTCATTGATGAGCTTTTCAATTAGCCTTGGGCCATCAATGAGGAAATGTCTATTAGTATCACCTTGGAACCACAATGCATCCAAATCCCTGCTACAATTCACTCGCCAGACCCACAAATGCTCGCTAAACCAATCCCCAGAAGCTTCTTAGTAGTTTCTATTTGTTGTGACACGATCACCACTAGACTACAGTTTCTTTACTACAGCAGTAGTGATTGTGAGACTGAAACACAGAAGATAATGCTGCTTAAAAACAGACCTATTTGTGATGAAAGCCAGTTTATATTTGGGAACTAAGAAGTGCTCATGTTTTACCTGGCCAATGCTTGTTCTAGCTACATAACCAAGAAGCACATTTATTCTGTCTGTGGCTAATCGAAGTAATTTCATTGAATAATATAGTATCAGGCAGCATAGAAAATATTCAGGAAGCAACAGGTACTTTACGTAATCAAATTATCATGAAATAATCTGCGGTCAGCACAACATATATACCAGTTAACACCAAAATATTATTACTTATTTTCAATCACGTGTTTTTCAGTTACAATAGACCTAAAATATTAACACTTCAGAACAACTGTAATTGCCCACAATACAAAGGAAATACTCATTTATGGATGTACACAGCTATAAAGCTAACATTTTTAACTACAATTATTGATCCAAACCAGTCTCAGACTTGGGGTCCCAGACTATTTACAGTATTAATAACACAGCAGCATTTAGCTTTACTCCTCCTACAGTGGAAGGACGCTCTCAGAAACTACTGAAAATCCACTCAGAAGGGTATTTATTTATTTATTTATTTATTGGACTTATATACCGCCCCATAGCGCTACAAGCACTCTCCGGGCGGTTTACAATTTTAATTATAAAGGCTACACATTATTTTCTCAACACTTTAACATCCAGCATCACTCTCAAACCAGTCACCAAAGATCTATCCTCTTACTCTCTAGGTCTATAATTTTTGGCATCAGTACCTTTGATATTCAATCAAATCACTAAGTGTGGTTTAGACTGAAACATTTTTAGTTGAACGGAACCCACTTCAAGGATCCTTCCGGATCTTGGTATAAAACAAACTACAGCACCGGTTTGTAGAATGTCCTGGAACAACGCAGAAACCCATCAACTGCTAAAAGTCCTCTTTGCTCTTATATACTGTATTATCAAGTAAGACACTAACTCAGTGCTGCACAGGCCACACTGCCATTCAATCACAAACGCCTCTGTTTTCTGTTTTGCTGTTAGAACACAATTCAGAGAATCTTTCATACAGCCAGTGTATTTTCTGGGAAACTGTCGCAATATTTCTGTCATGCACCATCATCCCAAACTTACCTTTAAACTTTTATTGTGACGTTGAAGCTCACGGCAAAGAGACTCCAGTTTACTGCGTGCAAGAATGGCCTTGCTATGTTCACTCTGCAAGTGGACCTTCTCCTTGACAACCTGCGCCTGCTTCTTCTGCAGCATCTTCATCTGTCTTTGAACATTCCGGCTCTCCTCTAACTAAATAAGAGAAATGATCAAAGATAGGACAATGCATTCTGTGACAAAATAACTTGACACTGCGTTTCTTCTCTATCTATAGCTACTGACTACACGTATATTAAACTGCGAACAGAGAATTTTAAGATACAAAACAGACCATATGAATAAAGGAATGGAGAGTTATACTTCAGTGTTTCCAACTTAGAGAACATCTTTTTTAAACTGCCAAGTGGAGAGAACAACTCTAAGGACATGTTTACAGCTCACTGCTATCCCAGTCAACTATTCCTTGGATACTTAAACGCCTGGGTGGGATGGAGGTCAAATGTTGTCATACCAGTTAGTAGGTCACGAAGAGTCGGACACGACTAAAGGACGATGAAGCCAATATTATATATAACTATAAAATCATTACACTTAAATTACTTTACCCTCCCAGAAATAGAATCAAGTCTATTAGGCCTACAGCTAATAGAAACTGCGAAGCTGAATCACCAGGTTATACCACCCAAAGGTCTGAATTAACTTCCATCCAAAATTCACAGTGTACCTATGGAAAGTATCTTGAGTCTCCACCAACCTTGATTTCTCCTGTTGTCCCAATAAAAATCTTAAAATCTTTAGCACTGCCATCAAGTGGGAACCTGTACAGTTACCAAAGCACTGGCAAACCATGTGAAGGTAACAGCAATTTCAATGGAATGGATTAACATCATCTTGCGGGGCACCACTGTATATGAATACGAAGCCCCCATCTCTGTTTATGAGGAATCATTGTCGATCATTATATAGACAACTGGCTGCTGTTATCATCCTCTGCCACACTTAGCACATTCTTGACCTTTACATCATTTAGAGCTTAGGGTGAATGCCTCAAAGACCATTTTTAAACCTATATAATCAGTAGAGTTTATCAGCGCCCATATGAGCTCCACAGCAGTCACAGCCACCAAAACAGGACCTCACCCTAACATGCAAAAGTGGCTATCAAGGTTCAAGCAAGTGACATTCAGATTATCCTAGGCATCATGGATGCCCCACTGCAGGACTCCCATTGGCCAGGCTCCATGTGCAATTGCTGCAACACTGTTTCATTTGTGCTTTCAAAAGAGTCCAGAAGAGCAAGGGGACATGAGTCTCAGTATTTGCGGCCCAAACCAGTGTTGTCACCCATTTGCTTCTGGTCATGGCTGGAAACTTGCTCACATGGGTTGGGCCTCCCACCCAGCGCTCCAGAAAATTAGAGGGAATGTGGGTGGACACCAAGAAGGAACTTCCATAGTACATGTCATAAAAGGCACACTGTTCACTTACAAGACATCTGTCTGTGACTCTCATGACAGATCCCTCCAATATGGGATAGGGCACTGGTTCTTAACCTTGGGTTACTCAGGAGTTTTGGACTGCAGTTCAAAAGCATCCGAGTAACAAAGGTTAAGAACCACTGGGATAGGGTATACATCAGTGGTGTCCAACCTTGGCCCTTCAGATGTTCTTAGACTACAGCTCCCAGAAGCCTTCACCGCCACCTCTGCTGGCCAGGATTTCTGGGAGCTGAAGTCCAAGAACATCTGGAGGACCAAGGTTAGACACCACTGGTATACATCATCTAAGCTACCAGATCCATGGACATTGGTTGGAAGAGGAGTGGGGCCTTCACTTAAACATGCTGGAGAATTCAAGGCTTTTGATAATCTTTTCCACCAATATCTGGTCAAGCTGTGTTGAATGAGTATCAGTTGGTCAGGTCTGAGGAAGGGAGAGGGCATTTGGTAATATTGAATTGATTGCTTGTATCTTTCTTTTGGCTCCTTGCGGTATTTTATAAGTTAGGAGATTACCACTTCAGGCCTGTTGCTACCTGGGAAAGTGTTTGAACAAGCCATCATTGATCAATGCCAGGCACTCTTAGAGAAAGTGTTTCTAGATTGTTGTTTTCCTGCTTCTGTTACTGGATTAGGCTGCTAGTGTAGATGTTAACAGTTTTCACACCTCAGTGATCCTAAGTAAGATAGTTGTTTTCCTTCTTCTGTTACTTATTGGGAAACAGTGATTTTGGCAGCACCACAATGTTAGACATCAGAGGTTAGAGCCTTCTCCCAGTGATCCTGACTGAGATCACTGGCCTAGTGTTATAGTAGTGAAATAGCCATAGCCACCTTCCTATAAATGTATGTGAGGCTTTATGGGCTGCCTATAGCAAGCAGGCTGACCACCTGTGCCTTATAGCAGTGGTCCCCAACCTTGGGCCTGCAGATGTTCTCGGACTTCAACTCCCAGAAATCCTGGCCAGCAGAGGTGGTGGTAAGTCTTCTGGGAGTTGTAGTCCAAGAACATCTGGAGGCCCAAGGTTGGGGACCACTGCCTTATAGAATACAGTTTGTATTCAGGGAGTGCTCTTTCATCCGTAATTTTCACCAGCAGCAGAGATGACGTCCAGTGCTTTTAATCAACTGAGGCTGTAATGCTTAAACAGGGCAAGCATGAACTTGATGTTATAATTCATGCCCAAGTTTGAATTACTAGAGTGTATTATACACAAGGCATCTTTTGAAAATTGTTTGGAAACATCAATTATTCTAAAATAGAATGTCTAGATTGAGACTGACCAATATGATCTCATCATTTTGTTTTTGGCCATCTTTGTTGGCAACTAATCTATCTCTGGGTCCAATTCAAGAGTGCTGGTTTTATCCCTTGAGATTCTGAAGAGCTTGCAGCCATGAAGAAGCATCTCTTGCCATTTCACTAAGGTTATTTCCTGAGGTAAGAAATGTGGCTGTAAAAGAGGCACCATTGTAATGGTGGTGCCCTGCCCTTGGGATGCCAACACCAGAGAAACTGGCCCTGGAACCTATGTTTATGGCCTTCTGGGTGTCATTTGAAGATCACTTTATTCTTCCAAGCATTTTGTTTTGGTTCGCCATATCACTACTATTTTATTTTTCTCTCTTTTTTTTTTAAAATCAAGATTTTTGTGTTGTATTGTTTGTGCTACTGGTTTTATTTTTGTTTCAGTAAGTTCTTTATCGCTGTTTGTGAAAACAACTGTGAGTATTGGGCCTGCGAGTGTAATAACTACATGATTTCACCCTGTCAACTTTATTGTTGAAAGAGCTGTCTAAGGGAGATAAGACTAAAAGGGTGACTGCCTTAAAATCTCTCAGTGATCTTTGTGGTCATATTAAATGTTCCTACTGTTTTATTGCTGTTTTATTGTTTTGTTACTTGAGAGTCATTGTTTTGTGGTTTTTGCACAAAAAAGTGTTATACAGTTGTGTTCAAAATTATTCAGCCCCCAATGCTGTAAAGGGGTTTAGGGACTATAGTGTACATTTGGAATTGTATTCAGAATGAAATCCTACAAGGACGTTTTAAAGAACCAAATGCAACTAAAATAACATCAATTGTTTATGTAATACAGTAGTAAATGTTTCTTTTGTGGTTTCTTCATTGCCACAATTATTCAACCCCTTAAAGACTACCACTCTGAAGAAGAGAGGTTCATTCAGGTGTTTTCGATCAGGTATTGAAAACACCTGTGGATGTCACCGAGCACCAATCAAGCATAATAAGCACCAATTAGGCAGCTTTAAAATGACTGTGATACTCAGCTCCTTCTAGACATTTACTGGTGTGGTTACAAACATGGTGAAGTCAAGAGAATGGTCCAGGAAGACAAGAGAAGAGGTGATTTGTCTTCACAGGAAGGGCAATGGCTATAAGAAGATTGCAAAGAAGTTAAACATACCAAGAGACACCATAGGAAGCATCATTCGCAAATTCAAGGCAAAGGGCACTGTTGAAATGCTACCTGGTCGTGGAAGAAAGAAGATGCTGACTTCGACTGCTGTGCGCTACCTAAAGCGTAGAGTGGTGAAAAGTCCCCGTGTGACTGCTGAGGACCTGAAAAAAGATTTGTCAGATGTGGGTATAGAAGTTTCAGCTCAGACAATAAGGCGCACACTGCGTAATGAAGGTCTCCATGCCAGAACCCCCAGGCGCACCCCCTTGCTGTCTCCCAAGAATAAGAAGAGTCGACTGCAGTATGCCAAAAGTCATGTGGGCAAACCACAAAAGTTGTGGGATAGTGTTCTGTGGACTGATGAAACAAAATTAGAACTGTTTGGGCCCATGGATCAATGCTATGTTTGGAGGAGGAAGAACAAGGCATATGACGAAAAGAACACCTTGCCTACTGTGAAGCATGGCGGAGGGTCAATAATGCTTTGGGGCTGTTTTGCTTCTTCAGGTACAGGGAAGCTTCAGCGTGTACAAGGTACCATGAATTCTCTTCAGTACCAGGAGATATTGGATGAAAATGTGATGCAGTCCGTCACACACCTGAGGCTTGGGAGACGTTGGACCTTTCAACAGGACAATGATCCCAAGCATACCTCCAAGTCCACTAGAGCATGGTTGCAGAGGAAAGGCTGGAACATTTTGGAGTGGCCATCGCAGTCACCAGACTTAAATCCGATTGAGAACCTCTGGTGGTACTTAAAGAAAGCAGTTGCAGTGCGCAAGCCTAAGAATTTGACTGAACTGGAGGCTTTTGCCCATGAAGAATGGGCGAAGATACCCGTAGATCGCTGCAAGACACTTGTGTCAAGCTATGCTTCACGTTTAAAAGCTGTTATAACTGTAAAAGGATGTTGTACTAAGTACTAAGATTGAATGTCACTTGGGGGTTGAATAAAAACTAATAATGATGTGAGCACAGAAAAGACATTTGTGGTTATTTCATTATAAACTTAAGGTTATATTTCTCTGACCTACAAGTGCCTCTTTCATGTAAATGTAAGCAAGATGACTGAATGATCAAAATCAATGTCAAAATGGCCAAAACATTCAATTTCAGTGGGGGTTGAATAATTTTGAACACAACTGTAAGTAGAGACCCCACTGTACTTGGTCTATAGTGTGTCTGCATCCCAGACTGAGGTACCCAAATGTTGTTGGCTTCCATTCCTGGAATTGCTGCCTCCTGGCCAAGTTGGCTGGGGATTCTGGGAGCT